CAGGTTAGTATCTATCTGTTAACGAGTACAAAACAAAAAGGCTTCCTGTACTAACGACTACACTACTCACGTGGTTGGTGTGCGTCTTCCTCTTAAAGAATATTCGTATTAATTCCCGTATACACCTAAAGGACTACCTGTAACCATCATCATCATTCTTACAATCACCAAGACCATCATCACCTCATAAACACCATCAATCATCACAATCATCAATACCTCCTCCTCATCATCATCATTAAGACAACATACATCACCACCACTCTATCACCACTAAATTCAACACAGTTTACCTTAATAATCGTGTAAGAAAAACCTGCCAGTAATATGGGTGTGTGTGTGCTGTGTGTGTGTGTGTGTGTGTGTGTGTGTGTGTGTGTGTGTGGGTGTGTGTGTGTGTGTGTGTGTGGGTGTGTGTGTGTGTGTGTGTGTGTGTGTGTGTGTGTGTGTCATCAGCTCCAATACAGTCCGCTTGCTAGAGTTACACAATAGTGAATGTAATTGTAGATCCCCCAAGCTAACCCTACGCTTGTAACCTGTGACTATACGAGTGACTATCTACTTTCTTATAAGACAATGAAGAATATAAGATTGGTTTGGTTTAAACAATAATAATAATGAGTGATTGATAACTCTGCACATCTGGTCTATTGTTGTAATAGGAAGGAAGAGAGATTTACAACACAGAGATAAACAAACACGCAAAAACGATCCAAGCAAGTAACTGAGATCAATTACCCCCACACACACAAACAAGAACCAACTAAACTCACAAAGTTCCACTGTTATCTTTAAACGTTTCGGTGTAGCTATGGATTCATAAACTTTCTGACGGACTCCGGATATCCTAAAGAACGTTCCGATGTCAGCTAAGGAGATTTTGAAATGTTCCGGTGTAGGGGTGTGTCAATGTCTAAACCAACTTGAGGGGAGGATATTTATGGCAAAACACATACATACATACATACATACATACATACATACATACATACATACATACGAATACGCGAGGCTGATATGAGAGAGAGAGAGAGAGAGAGAGCTAGCTAGCTTTCCGGTAACGGGTTAGGGGAAAAAAGTAGGGCAGGCATTTTTTTTTTTAACCACTATCTTCATTACGGGTCCAGATAGATAGATATTCATGTGCCCTTTTCATCAGTAATATTACCTAATGTTAATAAAAGTTATCTTTATTTTATACACAATGTACCCATGGAAAGATAAATTTATTGAGGTCAGCCACAATTTTCTAGATAAGAACGAGTTACTGAATACACCTGAGTTTTGTTTTGGCCACTCACTCACTCACTCACCTTCTGACAAATCCTCTTCCGAAAAATATAGAAATCTCTAAGAGTTGACCTACAGGCTACACCGTGACCTACATCCACGTTCAGTTTCATCAGGACAATATCGTGAGTCAGCCCTCGTGATAGTGGTAGTGATGGTGAAGAACTGGGTATTGTCACCATCAACACGACAGAGAGAGAGGTCATCAAACAGTATTCGGGAAACGTTTCGTAAAGCAAAGTCTGCCTCCTAGATTATCACCAATACTCGCGTGTACATAACTTCTATGCCTGCTGGGTTCCTCTGCAAGTGGGTGTTACTATACATCCCTCAGCCACGATATTAAACACAAAGGTATTCGTTTTGTATTCAGTGTTAACGAAGATCTGGGAATATTAAGAGTATTTACCATTCTGTATGTACCTTTGTTATATAATTGATTTAGAAATACATTATTATTAGAAATAGTAGTAGTAGTAGTAGTATTAATATTACACCTATCATTATTATTGTTACCATCAAATGCCATTAAAATGAAATGACTAAGAAATCCCCCCCCCCTCAAAAAAATAAAAATAATAATAATAATAAAAAATAATAAAAATAATAAAAAATAACAATAACAAAATAAATAAAAGAAAGGAAAATAACAATGACCGCTCCCTGGGTTCTGCCTATGTCGACTAAAGAAAAAGTCCGCACAGTTGTCATGTATAATAATATATAACGTAGAAATTAAGTCAAGACTCTAATTGCATCACAATATTGTTGCACCAGAGAGAGAGAGAGTAAATTGGATTAACGTTCATTATATTACAGACAAAAACACAAATCCACTCCCTGAAATAAGACACAGACGGCCAGAAACAACCTCGGTGCTGACGGCCTCCACAAACAACAATAAATATCGGTGACGGAGAGAAACCTTAGTAAAGTCAGAGGTAGTGGAGGAGAGACAAGAAATAAAGGTGTGGTGAAACATGTACCCACCCACCTACCCAAGTCCAGTTTATCCAGGCAGGAGAAAAGCTTACCACACCGCCGCACTGCCTTGTGATCAGAGGTGGTCGTGGGGTCAAGGCCTTAGCACCATAACACAACACCATCCTTGTGTTGGTACGTAGGGGAAAAATCTTACATGATTATCTAGGAAATTGTAATAAAAAAACAATTCCCTGTTTCTGTAAAGGTTATAATGTAAGGAGTCATCCAAGGAGAGGTGATGGAAGTCCTATAGGAATCTAAGGAACCGATGTGGTGGTGATGGTACTGTAGATTAAATGGGTCTCTGTATCAATTAGTCTCAAGCTCACCTAACCATAAGGATTGGGGCCCCTTATGACAGGTGTATCTTAACGTTTGATTACCAGGCTAAGAGTCACCCCGGTAGCAATGGTCCTACCAGCTGTCAGGCTACAGGACATCCACAGGATACCAATGACAAGGGGAGGCGACACCTCCTGCCGGTTAGAAGGACAATGAAGGCAGTGAAGGAAGAGAGACTTCCTGGTGGGGAGGGGTGTGCCTGGGAGGAGAGGGGACGTCCTGAGGGAGGCGAGCCATCCCTTGACGGGTCTGCCTGGGGAGGGGAGAAGGATGTACAGGATTTCCCGGGGACAGTCACTCTCCCTGACGGAGGAGGAGGAAGGTGTGGGAGGATCAACACAAGTCTTACAATGTCTCCACTTGACTCACCGCATTTACTGGCACTCAAAGACGTGACAGCATACGACTCGAACATGATTGTCAGTGCTCAACATCCAGTGACCAGAAATTGTGACAAAACAGTCATTTTGTCAGAGGGAAAAACTGACCACAAGATGACTTTCATTCATCCTTGATACGTACGTCATCCACAAATGATCCTTCAGGAGGATAAGTTAAAATAATATGATGATGGGAGACAGAGGAGGAGGAAGGGACTATTCTGAAGTTACAGGTACAGAAGAGGGGTACAGAGGCAGAGTGGATACAGCCTTCGCCTCCTGTCCTATGGATTGCTGGTTCGATCCAGGAGCAGTCATGCGTATGGAACCCACTTTCAGGCAGAGGGAACACAGTGAGGTATAGCAGTAGATATAAAGTAAATCGATAAGTTCATCAAGTAAAAACTGTTAGCCAACAACACCCCCGGCAACTGTTCTACGTTCTTCAGTTAATTATTACCTCAGGGTACGTTTAAGTACAGTAGGTTAGAGTGAGACGGGTCTGTCTCCGGTCACCCAGTCTTAAAGACCCCAACACAGCATAACCATTAAAATTGAAGCCTAGTAACAGTGGGTCCCAATACTAATGGGTCCCTGTTCCCATGGCTCCCATATTACATGAAGGTGCAGTACACAGAGCTGAGGTAAAGGTGAGTTAGTAGGTCATAGAGGTGTAGTACACAGCTAAGGTGAATCATTAACGTGTCATTGGGTCCTGAAGGGTTGAGCAGCAGAAGGTGTAGGTGAGAGAGTCAAGGCACAGGTGTAGCGAGGCTTTATCTCGGGAAACCACCTGAGATAAAGATGATAACAGCCACTTGTAACCCCTTAATTTACCACAACCCTTCCTCTCTCTTCACCACACCACAACCCTCTCTCTCCACCACACCACAATCCTTCCTCTCTCTCCACCACACCACAACCCTCTCTCTCCACCACACCACAATCCTTCCTCTCTCTCCACCACACCACAATCCTTCCTCTCTCTCCACCACACCACAACCCTTACTCTCTCTCCACCACACCACAACCCTCTTCCTTCTCTCCACCACACCACAACCCTTTCTTCTCCACCACACCACGTCTCTCTCTCTCCACCACACACCACAACCCTCCACTCTCCACCACACCACAACCCTCTCTCCACCTCACACATAACCCTTCTCCACCACACCACAACCCTCATTTTCAGCGTCTATAACTGTACCTGCTATACCTTCACCTGTGAACCTGCTATACCTTCACCTGTGAACCTGCTATACCTTCACCCGTGTACCTGCTATACCTTCACCCGTGTACCTGCTATACCTTCACCTGTGTACCTGCTATACCTTCACCCGTGTACCTGCTATACCTTCACCTGTGTACCTGCTATACCTTCACCTGTGTACCTGCTATACCTTCACCTGTGTACCTATATTATTATTCCCACATTAAAAAATAAATATAAACTAAAAACACAAAAATATCCATAAAAAATAATAATAACCCCAACACTTATTAATATCCTTGAGCCACACTCTATCCCAGACGTGATAACTACAACACGTGTTTATGTCTATTGAGACTCTATCTACCACATGGAGAGGGTGTGGGGAGGGGTGGGGGAGGGGGATGGGGAGGGGGGATGGGGGGAGGGATGTGGGGGGAGGGATGAGGGGATGTGAGGGGTGGGAGGAGAAGAGGAGGAGGAAGGAAGCTACAACTAAAACCCAGGACATGTTAGACGAGATAATTATTATTATCATCATAGCACACCAAGCGGTCTTATATACTATTGATAAAGGCAGTAAATACGATAGCTGTTTTGTCCCGATGGGTTGTGTGTGGTTGTGGAGGATATGTGACTTATTAGGTTTGGTTAGGTTAGGTTTGGTTAATGTTAGGGGTGTGTGTGTGTGTGTTGGAGAGGTGAGAAGAAAGGAGTGAGTGAAGGATCTTAATGGTAATGTTAGGTTAGGTTAGGCAGAGGTAAGGTCCCAAGGTGTCACATACATACAGCACCTTAGGTAACGAGACAGTGATGGGTGTCTCCTGCAGCAGTAGTAAGGTCCTCCTCCTCCACCATCATAGTCTTACCTGTGGAGAGACAACACGTGTTACAAGACTACCTCATTGAACACGTGCAGAGAATGTATATGTGGCAATACAACAACACACAATGATGATGATGATGATGATGATGATGATGATGATGATGATGATGATGATGATAACAAAAGCCTACCCAATCCTGATTTTTACGGTATATCTATATAATGTGTCTCCCAGGATCACACACGCGCACACACACACATCCCTTTCCAGTGAGTTACTACAGACCGCGCCAGAGGAAGCCTTGGCTCGCCACTTCCCGACTCTCCCTCCCTCCATGGCAGGCTAAGATACGTGTTCTCTCCTTCCCAGAGTCACTTTCATCACACACCACTACCATGACTCACCATCACCTACATTTACAACACCACACCCATTTCCCCTCACCCAAACCGACCATAACCCATTCCCTTACCATAAGCTTAACCGTGAGTACGAACAGTTTCTTCTAACGAGTGTGGGTGAGGGGTGGTGTGGGTGAGGGGTGGTGTGGGTGAGGGGTGGTGTGGGTGAGGGGTGGTGAGGGGTGGTGTGGGGTGATGTGGGTGGTGTGGGTGAGGGGGTAGTGTGGGTGAGGGGTGGTGAGGGGTGAAGGGTGGTGAGGGGTGATGTGGGTGTCACGTGGGCATAATTGATAATGTTGCTGTCAGAAACCAAATGAATTCGCTCTTAAAGAACTTCATCATTGGGTCTCGATGAAGTCAAGATCTTATAATTAAGTGCCCAGGTAACAGGTTAGAGAGGGGACTCAAGACCTCTCGATCTATCCACTGTGTTCTCTGACTACTACTCCTTGATATCCCGAGGAGTTGTTGATGCGTCTCTCTTCACTCTCTTCCATACAGGTACTACCGTATCTCTCACTTAACACATCACACAGGATAAAACAGTTACCGATCTCGTCTCTATAGCACTGTCTCACACCCCCGGAGAAACTGACCCTATCCTATTAAGTAACCGAGGGAAAGTATGGACGGGTGGACGGGCAGTGACGCGTAACACATAAAAGAGTGAAAGTGGATCCCATAAATTCAGCAGCCAGTTTGAGACAGGGTGGACAGTGTAAACTTAATAACCTAGTCTTCGGTACTCCAGGAGAGGGGGAGAGGGGGGGGGGTACAGTAGATCGCCACCATTTCCTTTGGGATCGAACTATGGAGGTTTGGAATAGGAGTCGAGCGTTGTGTCCACTCAGCCGCCGCATCCACAGTAAATATAAAACATTAAAAAAAAATAATAAAAAAATGAACTAACTAGATACGACCTCCTGTCTTTCACAGTTGTCTCCCTTTAGTATTGCAAACATCCTCAGTCGTTACCTCCACAACCTTCTCCTCACACCATGACACCATCCCTTACACCATGACACCATCCCTCACACCATGACACCATCCCTTACACCATGACACCATCCCTCACACCATGACACCATCCCTCACACCATGACACCATCACTCACACCATGACACCATCCCTCACACCATGACACCATCCCTCACACCATGACACCATCCCTTACACCATGACACCATCCCTTACACCATGACACCATACCTCACACCATGATACCATCCCTCACACCATGACACCATCCCTCACACCATGACACCATCCCTTACACCATGACACCATCCCTTACACCATGACACCATCCCTCACACCATGACACAATTCCTCACACCATCCCTCACACCATCCCTCACACCATGACACCAGTTTTAACGTTAATCCCAATATCTCACTGATAATCCCACATACAATCCCTTGATAATCCCTCCATGAAGTCATTCACTGGTCCGAGGGTTCATTTGGTCCGAGGGTTCATTTGGTCCGAGGGTTCATCTGGTGCACAAGTTCCTCTGGTCCGAAGGTAAGGTTGGGTAAGAGCTTCGGATCAATGAACTGTCGCGGTGTAGAGACCGTAACCAGTGTATCCAATGACCCTATTACGACATGACGGAGTACTCTCTGTCATTGACCATTTCACCCAATCATTTCAAAGGCAACCATCACTCTTTCAACACACTGCTCCAGGCGCTTCCATTAACCTCTAACAATGCCGACTGTGTATCCATGAGAGCTTAATTTAACTTAATAACCTGCTATAAACTTACCCAAGGTAATCTCCCAGGTAGATTGGCTGATTAACTAACCATTAAGAGTCAAAATAATCGTGGCACACAAGCTGAAGTTATTAATACTTGTTTCTGACACATTTTAACCTTTCTCTGGAGTTCGTCTTATTGTTTTGACTGTGACAAGTCTCTCAAGGGGTTGGCTAGTGGTTCAGCCAATCAGAAGCCGTCGTACCACCAGAGGCTACCTGTTGTCTAAGTGTAAGGCGACAGCGAACAGGTTTGGAGGCCAGTCAACCAACACATCAACAGAAGGATCAGTTCAAACACCCAGAGGAGTGGCCCTGGCCCCTGGAACACCTAATCCAAGAACCTGTGTGTGTGTGTGTGTGTGTGTGTGTGTGTGTGTGTACCTCAGCATTAAAGTTCTTCAGGTGAGTCTGTCAGTCATAGCTTGTCGAGAAGAGATCAGCATTCATAGAACTCACTGATACAAACCAAGGCACAATTTCCTTTCAGGTAAATTAATTAATTACGAAACCACTAACACCTTTACTGACTGTTTTACTGATAAATCCGTTTCCGTGACCACCAACATCACCACCACGACACGCCAGCACCACACCACAGACACCAAACCACCATCACACCATAACACACACCATCACCACCTCAACAACACCAACATCACAGCACAGGATGAGTTATCACTTCCTCTGATATCATGCAACTCGTGTGTGTGTGTGTGGGGGGGGGGGGGGGTATTTTGAGAAAGACGCGGATGAAAATGACGAGATAAAGAACGTAGAGGAAATTGATCACCAAGAGATGTTATCAATTATTTCCTGCATTGTTGTGTTGTGTTGGCAGTATTTTCCGCATATGTATCGTGTTGTAATGTATTGTGTATAACTTGTATTGTCCGTATTATATGTCGTGTACGGTATTGTCTTTGGGTGTATTGTATACTATGTGCAGTGCAGTGTAGAACAGTGTGGAGTTTACATGTTGAATATAGAGTTACACTTATCAAGCACCACATTTGTATCCCTAAGCATACATACCATAGTACACACACACACACACACACACACACACACACACACTTGAAGGAGAGGGACAGCGAAAGTGACTGATTCACTGTGTGTGTGTGTGTGGGGGATCAACCTCTGGTCTGTGGTATATTACAACACACACACAACCCACTCCTCGTTTTCTTTGCCCTCAACCCCAATGTTGCACGCACGCACACAAGACTACAGATGTTCTAAGACTAACAAAGAGTTCCTTATGATAAACCTTTATTATTTACCTCATATAAAGTGAAGGGCTGCAGTGAATCACCTCAATTTTACCTTTGCTCATCCATCAAACATTATATGTATATGAGATCTGGTTGTTGTGCGTGCGTGCGTGTGTGTGTGTATGTGTGTGCGTGCGTGCGTGTGTGCGTGCGTGTGTGTGCGTGTGCAGTGTGTGTGTGTGTGTGTGTGTGTGTGTGTGTGTGTGTGTGTGTGTGTGTTTATCTAATCAACAAAGATATGAGACGAATCACTCCAAGTGTCCGACAGGGAGTTCAAGGAGAAAAGCACTTTACTGGAGGAGGTGGGGGGAGGAGGAGGGGGAGAATAGAAGGGGAGAAGATTGGAAGAGAGAGCGGGAAGGTGGGGGGAGAGGGAGGGGTTTTTTCTTACCTGTGTCAACTGGTAATATAAGTTGACTTACCTCAGGGCAAACACCTCCTGTATCTACTGACACGAAGTCACGCGAGGAGGAGGAGGAGGAGGAGGAGGAGGAGGAAGAGAAAGAGTGACGAAGAAGAAGAAAGAGTGAGGATCAGCAGTAACTGAAAGTAAATATTTGGAAGTAAGGAGAAAGAAAACAGAGCTGAAACTGAGAAAAGAAAATGTGTGTAATAATAATAATAATAATAATTAACGGTTTATTGAAAGAGCTTGGCAGCCAGAAGGCTGAAAATATACAGTTACATATTTGGGGAATGGGTTACGAATTACAAATAATATACAAGTGACATAAGTGATACAAATAAGATATATAATAACTAGATGGGGAAAAGCTCAAACTACAGTGCATTTCAACATAGTGACAGTGTAGGGAGCAGTGTTTACTGGGAGTGAATACACTGGTTTATTACAAGTTATTGATAATTTTTACAATGGTTGGGACTGGGTTGTTCTTATAGCGATCAGTTCGTGCACGTATGGGCTGGATGCGGCTGTGGTGTCGAACAGCAATTCTCGGGCTAGGGATCTCAGGTGGTAGTAGGAGCCGGTGTCGAGGATGGTGTGGAAGCTTCTTACCAAATTTGCAGATGAGGTCGTGTTGATGGTCAGTGAGAGTCGAAAGGGTCAGTGTGTTGAGCGCTTCTTGATATGTGGAGTAGGAAGGGGAGAGAATAATCTTGCATGCCCTCTTTTGCACTTTTTCTAGGTGTTTACGTTGTGTGGCATTTAGGGAGGTGTGTGTTGAAGACAGGGTGAGTAATGAGGGAGGTTGGGTGTGACACAGAAAGGGAAACAGTCATAATACAAGGATTAAGGTTAACGTCGTATCAACGTGTGAGAGAGAGAGGAGGTGACAAAGGAAGGGGAGGAGGAGGAAATGGAAGAGAGATGAAGAAGGACGATGGAAAATGGAATAGAAGAAGAAATAATGGAAAGGGGGAGAAAGAAAATAGAAGAAAGTAGGGGAAATGGAAGAGGAGGAAGAGGGAGAGAGTAAGGGGAGGAAAAGGGACGAAGGTAAAATGGAAGGAGGGAAATGAGGAGTAAGGAAGAAGAGAGATGGGGAGGAGAAGGAAGAAAGGGAAAGGAGAAAGAGGGGAGGGGAAGAGATGGAAAAAGGGGAAAGTAGAAAGGGGGAGAAGGGAAGGGGGAAGAGGCGAGCGAAAGGAGGGGAGGGGAGAAAGGGGAAACGGGAAGGGAGAGGGAAAGGGAAGATGGGTCGAGAGAGGGGAAGGGAAGATGGGTGAGGGGGAGGGAAGGGGGAAGAAGGAAGGGGAACAGAAGGGGAAAGACAGGAGAGGGGGAGAAGGTATAAACAATATATTGACCCCGCTGGTAATTACAGGTATCTCCACACAGGTTAATGCCAGTCACGGGCATAATTCATTATGAGGTCAGCCTCCCCCCCTGGTAGTGACCTGGCCCTCAAGCACTCCACCATAATTATCACTATGACAGCCATTCTCACCACCATCATCACATTCACTCTCACTCTGAAAATCATCATATCTTACCCTCACCATCAAATTCATCATTATCAACACCTTATAGACCACACCTACACCACCATCCCACACTATCAATGTCACTCTTACGACTTACTACCTGTCACCTGGACCATACCTGCATGACACGTTACAAATTAACTTTCCACTTAACTCCCCTTGACCTACATATTAGTCATTAACCTGACCCCCTCCCCCTCCCCCTATAGTCTCTGATGCATGAAATAATGTGTATTGTTTTCTTAATACTCATGAAGACAGAAATAGTCAAGATTACTCAGACCAGCACAGCGAACCTCTCCCCCCCCCAACACAACCACCACTCCCCCAACACAGCCACCACTCCCCCAACACAGCCGCCACCACGCCCCCCAACACAGCCACCACGCCCATCACTCACTAATGTGGCCTGGCTCATGTTCACGATATCAACACTCTGGTGATTGATAGGAGGTGGGCGTGGCTGGTTGATGGGAGGAGGTGGGCGTGGCTGGGATGCTCCTGACGTTCATTTAAGCTAACCAAGTATAGTCTACCCCCAACTAAGCTGTCCTACACCTAACTTAACCTACCCTAAGTATAAAAGGTTAAATTAAAGTACTCAAGGTCATGTTACAGTATATACCACCTGTGTGCTGCCCCCTGCCTACAGTATATACCACCTGTGTGCTGCCCCCTGCCTACAGTATATACCACCCATGTGCTATCATATAACCACGTCACCTATGCGCCGAGCTGTAACATGTAATACGCTATCGACTCTTCTTTCAAAAGCACGGGAGCGTCACATGTGTGTTATGGTGTCAAAGGGGAAACTTAATGGATTGTATTGTAGGGAATTGTCGGATAATAAGGTTTACAGTCGGATAACGCAGGTGGGGAGGGGGGCGGTGTGTGACGATAGGAGAAGTTTGTGTGACGGTGGGGAGGGGGGCGGTGTGTGACGATAGGAGAAGTTTGTGTGACGGTGCAGGGGTTTGG